TCTTTTTTTCACTTTATGTTCCAAACATCCCCAAATTATAAAAGTAAAAAAGAAGTGAGATACAAATGATAGGGGCTGTTAACCATCTCGCCAATTTGGCCGCCTCTGGGAGGCGCCTCGGGCCGCTCCAAGCCCGTCCAGGAAGCGGGCAGAGATGCCACTCTTTCCCCCACAGGGCAGAAAGCCCCACCCCTTTCCTGATACCTCCTGGGACAAACAGCGTCAGGGGAAGGCGCGCAGGCCAGCACACTGACCTAGCTCGAGCCATGGGCCGGACAAGAGTGGCAGCAGGGTCAGCAGTCGCAGCGAGAAGCCCATGCCGGCAACACGAGCCCTGAGAGCACGAGCAGCGTACGCACCCTGTCCGGCTCTGCTGCGCATGCGCCGCGCAGGCACCACGTCTGCCGGCAGCCCCCGCGCGCAGGCGCGCTGCCCCTAAAGGATCCTCCAGTCTTGAAATTGCAAGGCATGCTTAGGCCAGAGGCCAAGGTGGCGCCTAGGGCCTGAGTTTAGCGCGGGAGGCCATGTAATTAAGAAAAAGCAATTCGGGTTAGCGTTGAGGGGCCCTGCCAGTCCAGAAGCCTTCATTATCTTTTGAACATTTGGACTGATTTCCTTCCCTTTTATATTCAGATTCCTTTGTGCCCTGGAGCACCATTAACAAGATCACAGAAAAGGTTTCAACTTAACATTTATTGCACACTCACAACTGCCAAGTTCTTAAAATACAAAGCTTAGCAACACAAAACTTCACCTTAAAGGACTGCAGAGATATATACCAACTGTATAAAAACAATTTTGTGGAAACGTGTAGGAGAGAATAGCATTTGGGTGAGAAAAACAAAATGGAGGGTTTTGAGATGGATGTTTCAGTATAAGCAAAGGTTCAGAAGTGTGAAAATATGGTCCGCCTGAAAACTATATCTCACTTAGCCCTTAGTCTTCATGCCTTCAGCCATCTTTTTACCTCTGCCTCCTCTATTTCTATTTCTGCCACTTCATACTTCCAGCGTTTTCAACACCCTTGCCTTTAGTTCACCCATCTTTCTACCCACTACAACTTTTCTGGGTAGCATTTTAGCAAAGCTACTTCAAAAGCATGAAAAATCCAACTGATCCAATATTTACTGAGAGGAATTTATACTAAGGAAAAAGGGATGCTTTCAAAACCTTAAGTTACTTAAGTGTTATTTATATTAGCATAAAAATTTTAAACTTAAATGCTTAACAATAGGAAACTATTGGATAAATTAAATTACATCCATTAGAAGAAATTATTAAACCATTAAAATTTGCTTTTCAAGGAATATTTAATAACAAGGTGGATTAACATATGCTTATCTAACACGTATTTTTATCACTAAAGCTAAAGCAAAATATCCTGTTGATTGGGTAAAAACGGCCTGCTTTATGTTTACACTGCAGTGCAATTTAAAAAAACCTGTAATTATCATTTCAGAACTTCAGAATTTGAATAGGTGCCAATGTTCTCTCCTTTTTCCATAAGGGAAAAAAAAATTTCTTTGAAAATCATTTGAAGCTTGGATAAAAATTCCATAGCTATAGTCTTAGGTTCACTGTAGCGTCTTCATGATTCAGATGATATAAAGGAAGCTTCAACTCAACCTTTTAGAGATGACATTCCAGCTCGCATGATCTCATCAACCAGGAGAATGTTGGTGGCGATCACAGTGCTGAAAAGGGAAAAAAAATCAGATGGCTCAGATTTGAGATATAAATCCTAATTCAACTTAACTTCCAACTAAACTGTGCAAATTACATCCAATTAAGTTTCCCCTTTCCCCTCCATACATAGCAGGCTAGTTTAGTCTCTATACTATTCAGTTGATTACGTTTTTATGGGGGGGAAAAAAATAACTAAACACAACATACCAAATTTAGAGTATGATGATTCCCTAAAGGTTATTTTAATTTTGGCTTTCCCAAACTTACCAGGAGTGAAGTAGCTGTTTCTTTACACAATAGTTATCCCATATGCCTGCTTCTGCTGCTACCATTGGCTCACCTGAAAAGTAACCCAGCATTAAAATCACATATAGCAAGTCCTAAGATCAGAATGCTAACAGTATTTTGTGTTGCTTTGCTAATCACTGGTAACTCATTTCCTCCAGTATTATCTATGAGAACCCCAAGATCCTCAATTAGTCCAATTTGGTACAAACCATGACTCCTGTGCACACTATCTTTGATGAGTGGCTGATCTCTACTTAGAAGACTTCCAGTGATAGGAATGCTCTATTAGTTACCAAATGTTTGAATATCTGTTTTTCTGGACACATTCTTATTTATCCATATTGAAGTACAGCACTTGAACTATAATCTGGCCAAAATGGGCTCACCATTTCCCTTATTCCAGAAACCTTTTCTATTAACTGGAATGTAAACGATGCTGTTAACAATAGATCTTACACATATCGCATGGATGTATCTTAGTTCTCTCTCTCCCACTTTGTTACTTGTAAAATTTGTGTTGTTATACTGCTCTAAGACCAGGGCTTTAATCTTTTCATTAGATTTGGTCCCCTCGTTCAGCAATTATTTGCTATCCTCAGTCTGTTTTCACCCGTGAATATGGTCATCTAATGTACTTTCTTTTATTTTTATTTTTTGTGAGGAAGATCAGCCCTGAGCTAACACCCATGCCAATCCTCCTCTTTTTGCTGAGATGTTAGCTCTGACCTAACATCTATTGCCAATCCTCCTCCTTTTTTTCCCCAAAGCCCCAGTAGATAGTTGCACGTCATAGTTGCACATCCTTCTAGTTGCTCTATGTGCGACGCCACCTCAGCATGGCTGGAGAAGTGGTGTGGCGGTGCACGCCTGGGATCCGAACCTGGGCCGCCAGTAGCGGAGCGCGTGCACTTAACGGCTAAGCCACGGGGCCGGCCCCTAATGTATTTTCTTATCAAAGTCCCTGATAAAAAACTGAGTAAAGCAAGACAAATATGAAATCCTTCAATATTAACCTGAACCACCTACCACTACTCAGCAACATCAACAAATCCATACTCTTTGAAATTATTCAAATATCTACTCTATTCCCTTAATTACTATATCTAGTCATTATATTTTTCTATCATATTTTAGAACCCAGAGTTCCCTGATGGCACTGGTATCAAACTGCAAAACAACTCCGCAAGATTCTTTCATCTGCAGTTTTGATCCTTCCTGGCTTTACCTCACATATATTATCTAGTTCTCCCCCTACAAATAGTTGCCTTCTCTTACCTGTGTTCAAGTCCACACCCACAAGTTGACCTGATTCTGAATGTTCTGCTTGAACTTTAACTAGTGTTTCCTGAAGGTCAAAACCAGAGTTCTGAGCAAGAACCTAAAGCAAACAAATTTAATCCTTTAAAAGACAGGACCTAAAAACTGACAGTCAAATGTACAATAAATGAACAGTATTTCCAATTAATAATTGAAAAACCCTTTGTTAATGAAAACAGACCAGTATTTATGCTCACTTCAGAGAATAACATGTTACTAACCAACTCACTAACCCACCCCAAGCTGAGCAATACACTGGTCATAAACTATAACCCCAAATGAGCATACAATAGAAAAATCATGATTCTGAACATAGTTTAACTAAAACAAATAAAAACAAAAAGCAATCTTGTACTCGAATATAATCTCTACACCACAAACCCTCTTAAAATAGTTCTCTTGCCATCTGAAACTTCCAGATAAACCAAACTCTCCCTTCCAGAGGAACCAAATACATTTGGATGAGAGACACCTGTTCTGGTGTTAATGCTCAAACTTGTTTTTACAAAATCCACATTATGAAAAAACCTACATTATCAAAAAGCTTTCATCAGTTGAATCATTTTAGTATAGTTTAGAAAATCGTCTGTTAAAGTGCGCATACCTTGGGAATAATGAGCAACGCATCGGCAAATGCTTGAACTCCAAGTTGGGCCCTGCCCTTTACACTGGGCTTATATTTAATCAGGGCTTCTGCCATTGCCACTTCCACTGCACCAGCACCTGGAACTACACAGCCTATTGGGTGGGGGAAGAGAGAGATGCTAAGCTACAAAAAAACTGTAAAATCAATTAGAAGAAAATATATAAATTAAAACACACATAGATGAAAAGCCATTAATTTCTTGAGAATTCAGTATAACCGCAGCAATTTTAATATTGCCTTTGAAAGCAATACAAACAACATATCAAATAGCAGAATGATTCAATTTAACTAGCACTTCAAAGCTCTTACAAGCTCTTAGTACTAGTTCATTTATTTGTATCCACTTTTAATAATGATATGCTATGAATACTTAGCATACCATCATAGCCATGTTAAAAGGAAGACTTTTTACTTTTGCATGGTGTCTGGCTGTGTAAACTACTGATAAAAAGAACACAGTATTCAGCCATGCCTTTTAGACTAGCAAAAAGAATATAATTTAAACAGTGAGGATCTTACCATCATCAATAGCATTTTTAACAGCCCTCAAGCCATCTCTTATTGCATCTTTGATTTGTGTGAGTGTGTGCTTATTTGGTCCTTTGACCAATAATGTGACAGAGCGAGGATTGTTACACTTCTCAATAAAGGTGAACTTCTCTTCTCCCTGTGTGAAGAGAGAATATTTTCAAAAACATAATATGGTTGCACAAAGACTAAACAGAGGGGAGGGGCTTATGGAGGAATGCTAAGTAGCAAATTAATAGGGAACACTGATCACATTAAAGCAAATTATTTCTTAAAAAAAAAATCACATATATAAGAAATGTGATTCTTCCATCAATGGCTTATCATTACTACACATAAACCATCAAAACGTATATAAACAAAGCAAAAATCTGATCCTGAGTTTGAATGAATTTTTACTACTGAGAAATTAATTAACCAAAAGTATTATTACCTTCAGAAAGAAAATACACTTACCAATGTATACTCATAGACAAGTCCTGCATGTCCCAGACAATCAGGATTTAGGTCATCAAAAGAATTTAGAGCTACCCCACCACAAGCAAGTGTCAGCCTGAAATATTGAAGTGTTTTAAGGGAGACGTATAAGTGATTTTATTACTTACACATTTAAAGAGAAGATTAATAATTTTTAGGAAGCAATCTCTCAGAATTACACACTAAAATTATATTGTAAAATGTATTTTAAGCCTTTCCATTCACCACCAACCAAACAAAAACTGGTCTTTTCTCCCAACGCTCCATTTAAAACATCCTCCCCTCAAGTCAGCAAATACTCCTCTGATATGAAATCTAAAGGTGGCAAGAGCTCTTCATTGTGGTGAGCTCTTTGGGAGAAAGTACTTCTCTGAAACCCCTTGATGCTGTCTCTGACATAGAAAAATACATACAGTATATGTCATGGTTTCAAAATAAAACAAGTATATACCAATGCTCAATAGCAGCATTATTCACAATAGCCAAAACGTAGAAATCCAAATAAACGTCCACTGACAGACAAATGAATAAACAAGATGTGGTATATCCACACAATGGAATATTATTCACCCTTAAAAAGGAATGAGGTTCTGACACAAGGTACAATATGGATGAACTTGGAAAACATTATGCTAAGTGAAATAAGCCAGACACAAAAGGACAAATATTGTATGACTCCCTTAAATGAGGTACCAAATTCAGAGAGCGAGAAAGTAGAACAGAGTTTACCAGGGGTGGAGAAGCGGAAGAGAAATGGCGAGTTAGTTTTTCATGGGTACAGAATTTCAGTTTGCAAAGAAGAAAAAGTTCGGGAAATGCAAAATGGTGATTCACAACAACGTGAATGTAACTTAATGCCACTGAATTGTACACTTTAAAAAAATGGGTAAAATCATAAATTTTATATTATGTATACCTTATCATAATAAAAAAATGCAAAAATAAGCAGAGGGAAAAAAGAAAGAATCCCAATTAACTTGCAAAATAAGTAAAATCTGCATTACACAGATCATCTGCTAGTCATACCTTTCCATATTTCTTCTTTTAGCTCTGCGCAGAGCTACTATGCCTTCTTTTGCAAGAGCATCTAAGGAAAAGGGGTCAATTCCCTATAACAACAAAAAATTAGTTTCAACATATTTCACTTTAAAAATAAAATGGATAAATAGTTTATAAAGCAAAATTTCATTCTCACCTTTTGATTAATAACAACAAATCCTTTATCTGAATCACCACAGACTTTCCTTTTCAGTTCTATTATTTTTTTAACTCTATCTTCAATGAATTTTCTTTCAGCTTTTACTAGTTTCTCTCTTTCTTCTGCACTCTTGTAAAAAAAGCCAGAATTCACTTCTCTATTTTAAAAAAAGTTACAGAAAGGGAGGGAAATGGTTATTTTTTGAGTAGAAGATAAGCCAGCAGCCTCAGAAACTGGGTTAGTCTTGAAATTGAACAAATAGTCACTGAGCTCCAATCCTGTCCCTGGTATATTTTCAGGTATATGTTTCCTATAATTCTCCCAAACCCAACTGAGAAAGTATTATCCTTACAATAGGGAAACTGAGTCTCACAAAGTGACTTGCCCAAAATACGAAGCTCCTCTACTGTTAGGGGCCATAAACTCACGTTTTTTCATATTCTAATGACACATTGCATGTGAGGATGTATGCATCTTCTACTCTTTTTCTCATATCAGGATGCCGTGCCCCGTGGTCCAAAACAAGACCTCTGATTAAGCTGTTAAAACACATAAAAAATTATATTGTTATTGACTTCCAGATGGAGTGTAACACATGCTACCAAATTACAAACACTGAATTGAGACTGTTGATAATTTTCACACAATCACCTTTATTTTTTTGAGTTATTTGAACAAGACTTTTGGGTGAAACTTTTGTAGGTTCAATTGTGAAGAGGCAATATTTCAGAACATGACTAAAACAAGCCATTCAAACACAATCTCAACTGGTAGGCTATCAAATTGTGATCATCTCCTTTGAAAATTGTTTTCAAACTAGGTCTTTGAAATAATATATACATTTTTAATTCCCCAACAGCCTCCCATTATGCTTTGTATCCAACAGTTCAATAAATGCCAACTGACTGATGTAGCTCACTTTTCAGAATCATTCTGACATAAACACACCATACTACTAACTTCACTGCAAGGGGAAATATTACTAAGTTAAATACTCATCTAGGCAATATACATTAATTCGAAGACAAAAAAAAAAACCAGCCAAAAGACATGTATTGTATAAAATGCCTGTAAATTTATAAACACTTTTTAAGTATTTCATAGCATTCTACCACCTACCTTGTATCAGTTTCAGATTTATGTTTCATCTCCATGATCTCAACCATGAAGAGGTCAAGAGGTTCATCTTGTTTTTTAATGGCCAAAATGGAGTCCACTACAGCCTACAATAGGAGTATAACCATTAAATGAATTTGATTTGCAGAAGTCGAGACACTTATGTTGCTTGTTCTTCAGATAAGTTTAAAGCAGACAGTTTCTTGACTTTAAAATCTCTGAATTGATCTAAGTCTTTTTTATGAGCTCATACAATACATTATTTGTAAAAGGCTGAAGTCATTTACTTTTCTGAAATCTCAATTTGTAATTATCAAGAATCACGGACAGGGGCCTGCCCGGCGGCACAAGCAGTTAAGTGTGCGCACTCTGCTTCGGCGGCCCAGGATTTGCAGGTTTGGATCCCGGGCACAAACCGACGTGCTCCGCTTGTCAAGCCGTGCTGTGGCGGCGTCCCATATAAAGTGGGGAAAGATGGGCACGGATGTTAGCTCAGGGCCAATCTTCCTCAGTAAAAAAAAAAAAAAAAAAAAAGAAGAGGATTGGCATCAGGTGTTAGCTCAAGGCTGGTCTTCCTCACACACACACAAAAGAATCATGGACATCCCTCATATTATTTTATTAAAAATATTGTTAAATCTCCATTTTATAAACCTTTTAATGAAAGCTGATTATAAAGCTAAAGCTTTATAACCTGGTCAGGTATACTATTATTTGATTTTCTCATTTTACTTGTTGGGTACACAGATCTGGTTATCATTGCCACAAAAATGAACCTACCTTTTTCACACAGTATGATACTGTGAAGACTCTAGATAGCACCCTGTAATTGGAATTGGTTAGATGTTTCTAAGATCAGGGGTTCTCAGTATAGGTGTATTGTACCAGCTATGTTCCAAATTTAACACATACCTCTGTTAAGACATCAGCAAGTTCAGCGTGAACTTTGGTACGTAGAGATGTTCTGGCAACATCTATAAGTGTTTCCCTGTCCATCTCTTTGGTTACTTTGACTTGTTCCAAAAACTGAAGTGCCTTTTCCTTTGCAGCTTCAAATCCTTCTGTTATTATTCTGGGATGAAGACCCTATAATAAATACACAATTACAAAATCACCACTAACACTGGAGTTCTTCAATTAGATTCAACTATGTAATTGATGAAAAACTAACTTTTTGAAGGGCTATTCTGGATCATTCATACCCTTTAATACAATTAAGTTAATATAATGTGCTGACTTTCTGAATACATTTAAAAGGATAAATAATCCTTTCAATGCAGAGGAAAAGAACAGACATTGCTCTAGCACAGAATCAAAACCAAGGGAACTATAAAGCACACTTGGGTGTTCACTGTGCAAACCACAGGGAATAATGCCTGAAAGTCACGACTATGTCACAACAACTTGCAGTCCATAGGACCATTATATCCTTTCTATAGCTAATCTGAAATTAATTTACGTCATTTACTAATAAAAAATAAACAGGGAGACTAAGAGTCTGCTTTCTCTCTCCTCCCAGGAAATTCTTCCTGACATCGGATTAGTACTCACGGAGGTTAGCTTTAACCTTGGAATTACTCAGGGCTAAGAAAGTTGTGGAGTTCTTATTTAAGTTTTTGGTTGATTTTTTTCTTATAAACATGACTAGTCTTCAATATCTTATGTCTAGACCTCAATTATTAACCTATGTCATACATAGATATAAACCATATATGCCATGCAACTTGATAAAAAAACCTTTCAGGCCAAGGAAGCTTCCTTAATTTGTCCATGATCACAATAAATTTGTGTCAGACCAGGATAAAGACTCTGATTTCCATATGTAATCCTTCCTGTTCGTTACATTCTACTGTATGGCCTCAGTTACTATTAACACATCAATTTGTATAAATAAAACTCATATTATTTCCTGTACACAATAAATATCACAGAAAAATAAGAATCATGTATACTTCAGAAATGTAGAGATCCGCCTGCTTCAGCAGCTCTCCAATGATTAGGACATTGGAAGTGGTACCATCACCAGTTATGTCATCCTGGGCTGTTGCTACTTTAGCTATTAAGGAGGCTGTTGGATGTTGAATTTGCTGCAAGTAGAAAAAGAAAAAAATTACTTAAACAACTTAAAATGAAACAGTCCAAATATACCTTAAAATGTGTGAAGGGCCTCCTTTTTTTTTTTTTTTAATTTTATTTTTTTGTGAGGAAGATCAGCCCTGAGCTAACATCTGTGCCAATCCTCCTCTTTTTGCTGAGGAAGACCGGCCCTGAGCTAACATCTATTGCCAATCCTCCTCCTTTTTTTCCCCCAAAGCCCCAGTAGATAGTTGTATGTCATGTTTTAGCTGCACATCCTTCTAGTTGCTGTATGTGGGACGCAGCCTCAGCATGGCCAGAGAAGCGGTGCGTCGGTGCGTGCCCGGGATCCGAACCCGGGCCGCCAGCAGCGGAGCGCACGCACTTAACCGCTAAGCCACGGGGCCGGCCCTGAAGGGCCTCCTTAAGTGCTACGCATTTGTACAAACTGCCCAAGTGTTCAGCTACATATTACTTTTAAAAACTCAGCATTATGGGGCCAGCCCTGTGGTGTACCAGACAAGTGCTGACGCTCCACTGCTGGCGGCCTGGGGTTCGGATCCCAAGCGTGCACCTATGCACCGCCTGCCAGGCCATGCTGTGGCGGCATCCCATATAAAGTGGAGGAAGACGGGCACAGATGTTTGCCCAGGGCCAGTTCCTCAGCAAGAAGAGGAGAATTGGCATGAATGTTAGCTCAAGGCTGACCTTCCTCACAAAAAAAAACCCCAAGAACTGTCTAAAAGCTCAGCGTTAGCTATTTTGCATATCAGTTTATGAGGACCAAAACATTTTCATATATAAACTTACTTCTCAGACTATCTCCACTTTACTGATGAGGAAATCTGAGGCTCAGTTAAGGTTTACTCAAGGTGATGGAGCTAACAAGTAATAGTAACAAATAATTTCAAATACATGCATGCCTCTTTATGACAAATCTAGGGCTCTTGTGAGAATAAACCAGGTACCTTCTAAAATGAAAGCCCAACAGCCTCCAGTATTACTTGGCATTGACACCTCCCCCCCCCCAAAAAATAGCCCTCTCAGCAAACATCATCAGTGGATACTAAATCACTGTGTGGAAGGGTTTTAGAAGAACAGGATATTCATGTCGCCTATGTCACCCACCGATTCTTAATTACAAAGAATCCAATCAAGGCTCCTACCCTGCTTTTGGCTGTCTCCTTATTTTGCTTTAATCTAGAACAGTTCCCCAGCCTTTTATGTCTTTGGGGACATTGACAGTTTTAAGAATCTAGGCCAGTGATCTTACAGACTATCTCATTATCTAAAGTTGCTGATGATAACCACTTTTGGCACGACTACTACATAAGTGATACTGTATTACTTCTTACTGTCTTTGCTGTATAATTTTTTGTTAAACTATAAATTTTTAATGTGCTTCTCTGTATTTATGTGGTATTTCACAATAAAAAATTAAGCAAAACAAAAAATCACATAGATATGGCTTTTCTTTTTTTTTTTTGAAGATTTTATTTATTTTTTCCCCCCAAAGCCCCAGTAGATGCTTGTATGTCATAGCTGCACATCCTTGTAGTTGCTGTATGTGGGACGCGGCCTCAGCATGGCCCGAGAAGCGGTGCGTCGGTGCGCACCCGGGCTCCGAACCAGGGCCGCCAGCAGCAGAACATGCGCACTTAACCGCTAAGCCACTGGGCCGGCCCAATATGGCTTTTCTGACATCAAATTTAAACTATGACTCCAACTGTTCTCTGCTAGCACAGTCCACCACTTAGCCCACTAAAAACAAACAGAAAAGGACTAGGTTATCTAGTCCTTCTGAGGATACTTACAAATGTCTGGATGTTGAAGGCATGCAGGGTACACTACTACCAAAACCCTAAATTTTATATTGAACTCAAACCACAAGCAAGTCATTTCCTTTTCTTGAATTTGAACTGCCAGGTTTTAGGAACTCAGGGACGAATAAAATGATTGCTCCTCTCAATAATTTCATGTTCTTGGTCACTCGGACTTTGAAAAATGGCAGAGTTTTATCTCCCTTTCAGATGGAGGTGGAGCGATGAGATGTAATAGAGTATTGCTGTTTCAAAAAGTGATATAACTATCCTGTCGCATTTTGCCCACTTGATGACGTCAGCTTTTTCTGTTTTTCAGATTTTATTAGAATTGATTTTAATCATTACAATCTACCTTGAGAATGAACATTAAAAATCTTCCGACAAATCAAACGTGCTACGGAAAACCGAGACATTTCTGACTTAGCACAGCAGCTTCTCACCATTTCATGAAGCAGCACGTTGCCATCTTTAGTAAGCTTGATGTCTCCAGCACCAGAAACAAGCCTGTGCAACGGGCAGAAATGAAGCACAGAGTGACTTTTTCAATAGAGATCAAATTAAGAGTCCTATAAAAATCGAGCTTTACCCAGACCCCAGAGAGCCTGGGCAGGTGGGGTGGGTTCTCTCCGCCCGGTAACAGGAACGGTGCAGCGCCCACCCCCACCCTTCAGAGAGACAGTGTGCTGAGTCCTCAGGGTCGCTAAGTCCCAGCGCAAGGGGGAGCGCAGCGCACGCGGGCAGCTTTGTTCTCCGCGGAGGCGGCACCCACTACAAGAGGAAACAGCCCGGGCAGGAAATAGGTCCTACCCGGAGGACACGAGGAGTAAGGGCCGCAGGGCGAGCGCGGAGTCCCGGGAGCGGCGGGCTCGAGGCCGCGGTCCCCGGCGCCAGGCGCGAGGTGCGCGGCGCGCCCCAGCCCTCCCGCCAGCCCCGCCTTACATCTTCATGGTGCCCTTAGGCCCCAAGTTGGTTCTCAGCACGTCCTGCAGTCCCCGGGCCGCGCTGATGTTCACCGCCAACGCCGCCTGGGCTCGGGCAACCTCGGCCTTGGGGTTCAGGGTCTTCACGGCCGCCATGGCTGACCCAGCAGAGGAAGAGGAGGAGAACCGAAATCAGAAACGCCCAAAGCCGGCTCAGCGTGGCCGGGAGGCGCTATCCGGGGTCTTCTGGAAAAGTCGGGCACGCCTGGCCCGCCCCCAGCGTGCGCGCGCGCCGCCGCCATTGGCCCGCAGGTCGGACGGCGCAGCTCATTGGGTCGCGGCCGCACTGCCGCCTGCGGCCCCGCCCCTCGCGCCTTGGCTACGGCGCCCTGGCTACGGCGCCATTGCGCAGGGGAGGAGCCTGTTCCTCGGCAATAAGAGCTCGGCGGGTCCTGGTGCCTCAGTGGGCCGGGGCCCTGCTTTCCGCATCCCGGGCGTGAGGACGTAGGCGGCGCGCGGCGCGCAGGCCGCTCAGCGCTAGGCAGGGCCCGTCGGCCGCGCGCGTCTGGGCGTGACTGGGGAATGAGCGCCGTTTCCTGGGCGTCTCTGGCCGCACGGAGTAGAGTGGGCTCCTCCCTCCCCGACTCGAGCGGTTTGCCGTGTTTCCGCTCCTTGCTTCTTTTGTTCCTGTCACCAGAGTTTTCTTGACTGTATACTGCATGCTCGACGACGTTCTAGGTGCTGCGGGGATACAGAAGTGAATCTGATAAGGACCCTCGCCCGGGGTCCTAGGTGTTTTAAGCCTGGGGAAGATGAAGAGATAGAATACAATGTAGAAAGTGCTGGATGCCTTTAGAAAGCTACGGGATTGGTGCCATGGCAGCTGGAGAGAAGCACGAGTCAGTCCACCCTTTGGGCTCAGGAAGACTGTTGAGGTCTGAGACCCTCAAGGCAGGTTTGAAAACTCAAACTTGATTGAGCAGTGGTGTCCGGCCTGTGAGATGACTCCTTTTTAAGACAAAAAAATTCTGAAAGATGTCCACAATTGTTCTGTAGTGTTTAGTCCCCCTCAAATACCAGGTATTTAGTAATCTTTTGTATTTTATTTTAATAATGAAAATTGTTCAGAATTCAAAAGGTGCCAAAGGGCGTATGGTGAAAAGTAACTCTTCCTTGCTCTTCTAGTTCAACTTCCTCCATACAAGCACAGTTACGTTTAGATACTCTGAACTCCCCAGATGCTTTCTGAATTTATAAATAAATATAAGCATTTTCCCCCACACAAAGTGGAAATTTATGATACACACTGTTGGGTGTATTATACTTAAAGTATCTTGGAGAATGTACCATATCAGTACAAATAAGGATTGCTCATTCCTATTAACAGCTGCATGATATTTTTTGTAAGAATGACATGATTAACCAGTCACCTACTGGTTGACATTTAAGTTGTTCCCAGTCTTCTGCTATTCAGGCTGCAATGAATATCCTGGGGAAAATTATAAAATTATCATAAATATATTTGTTACTATATGTATGTTTGAGAATGACGAAAGCATCTATATATGTTTGAGTAATAGCATTAAACGATAGAAGGAGACTAGTGATTAGTTCTGCAGATGGTACTTGGTGTGCATGCAGATTTAACTACTGTTGGATGTGTGGGGAGACATGAATGGAGATGAAGATTGTGGAATTTCAGGCATCTGCTTGCAGGTAGTGAAAGGGGGATTGGAGACTTCCACATTCCTGAGGTGCGACATTAAGGGCACACCAAAAACTCAGTAATTGAGATAAATAATACTTTAATGGAATATTTTTAAAAAATTGATGCAAAACATCCACAGTGAACAAGTATCAGAATTTTAAATTATTCATCTGCAGTAATATCATGCAAGGCCTTAGACAAAGTCTCAGCAAAACAGAAGGATCCGCATGATCCCTCTAGAGGCAATCTATTTACATATATCATTCTATTGGTCTTGGTTATCACACTTTCAAGCAAATTAATAATTTTCATTATTTGATGCAAAATAGAATAGCAAGGGAGTGTTGCCTATATGCTAATGTATGTATAGAATGGAAGAACTTTAATATGCCTTTTGGAGAATTTCAAACAAAAAGTCACATTGTGGGAGCACATCCATTTCAGTCCATGGTTGAAGAAATTGAGGTGGCAGCAGGTGCTTAGCCATTTGATTCAGCAGGGATTTCAATATAGAAGAAAATTTTAAGGAAAGAACTGTAATGAGGCAGAGTGGTGTATTAGAAAGAATCCTAGAGTCAAAAAATTTGAGTTTGAATTCTAGTTTTTCGATGTTTACCAGTATGTCATCTTGGATGTTACTTAACTTTTTTGAGTCAATTTTATAATCTATAAAGTAGGGGTAAGTGACGTCCTAGAGAAAATTAAATGATATTGCATGTGTAACATGCTTTGTATTCTGCCAGACATGGAAGGTGTTAAGTCAATTGCTACTACTGCATTCATATAATGTAGTTAACTCTATATAATTTTCTTACCACCTTTACAAACATTGTCTCATTTGATCCTAATACGAATGCTTTGAAGTTGATAGGTCAGGTATTATTAAACCAGTTTCACAGATGATTAAATCAACACAAAGAGAGGTTAAATGGCCAAGTCCAGGTCGTACTATGTTGTATTAGGGGAGAGCCAAAAACCTAGATTTCACCATTGGCTCCTCCCTTTGCCTCAGTCCCCCTATTCACATATTCCCTGAATGTTTTCACATTTACTTGATAGCTATTGCCTCTCTTCACTGTCAAAATTGACTATAGTGGAGCCATTTTAAAATGAAGTGCAAGCTGCCTTTCTAGAGAAACTGCCTTGCTGTTTGAACCTTGAACAGGGCCAATCCTTTGGACTAGGCAAAAATGGCAATTATTTTACAGATAATTGTTTCAGAAGTCAGCAGGAGAACGGACATTCTGATCTCAAAGACTGAAGATTGTGGACTTTCTGAAGAGAAAATCAATAGTCAGTCAATGTTTAGCCAAGACTAGCTCTCTGCCTCCAACTCCGATTAAAATTCTTTATAATACAACCTTCCTTCTTTGCCTTTAAAAGCCCCTGACTCTTATACCTAAGTGGGACACTATTTGGGTTTCTTCCTGAATGTGTGCTCCCTAAGTTGCAATTCTTTAGACCCCAAATACACTTTTTGCTTTTGTCAATGCAAATAATCTGTAATCAATCTATAAATCAAAATTGGGGTGAGTTTATTATGAGCCAGGTCTGAGAACTATAGCCTGGGGCCTTCCTTCCCAAGGAAGGAAGGGAACCAAAGAAGTGGGGTGTGCAGAGGGTTATATACTGTCTTGGAACAAAGAGCATACATCACATATGACAGGAATATCTCTTTTACTACTGTCACGAGATGCTTAGCTGGCACAGCAGTGCAGTGGTCAGCAGATCAGTGGTCACAAGGTGAGCATAGCAGGTCAGTAATTAATCCTTAGTTTCTAGGAAGAGATGCTTATCCTTAAAGCTGGTATGGGGAGAAGTTATATCCTTATCTTTTTTTTTTTTTTTTTTTTTTTTGCTGAGGAAGACTGGCCCTGGGTTAACATCTGTGCCCATCTTCCTCCACTTTATATGGGATGCCGCCACAGCACGGCCTGACAAGCAGTGCATTGGTGCACGCCGGGGATCCGAACCTGGGTCACCAGCAGCGGAGTGCAAGCACTTAACCGCTATGCCACAGGGCCGGCCTACATCCTTATCTTTAAGGGCATCATTCTTGTCTTTGGGACATAGTAAATGTTTAAAGCAGATGTACAGTGCATGCTCAACAGGCCTTGTCAGGCCTTTTTGGAAAAACGAGGTCAGGCCGAATTAGTTTTACACCAAATGGCTTCCTCATATACTCCAATATATCCTATTGCTTTTCATTTATTTATCATTTTCCCCCTTTTGATCTATAATCTTTTGATGGAAAGCATTGATGATCAAAATATTGTCCCTCAGTGCCAGTGTGGTTGCTGCCTGCCCTGGGTCCATCATGTCCTTTGATGCTAGGCTTTCATCTCATTTATTTGCCCAGTTATCCATGTTAGGGGAAAATAGTGAGACAAGCATAGATGTATATATTAACAGAGAAAACATTTCATAGGTTATATAATTTTTCAATTAATTTTAGTTTATTGCACAAGCATTGTACATGTGCTTTTACCTGACTCCTCGTGCTCACATTGTTTACAATTATAGAACAGGTACAGTAACAATGATGACAATTCAATATTTGAAAAGATTAGTTTTAAAATGAGTTCTTTGGCATAGTCTTTATCAGAAAAGAAAATTCACCCAGGGTTGTAAGATCCCTCAGTCATCTCAAGTCACTCAGCAGTCATTACTCTAGCCTGCATGCCAGTCTTACAACACTGAGTAAAGAAAATAGTAATTAGAGGGCCGGTCCTGTGGCTTATCGGTTAAGTGCTTGCACTCCGATGCTGGCGGCCTGGGTTCGGATCCCGGGCGTGCACCGATGCACCGCTTCTCCAGCCATGCTGAGGCCGCGGCCCACATACAGCAACTAGAAGGATGTGCAACTATGACATACAACTATCTACTGGGGCTTTGGGGAAAAAAGGAGGAGGAGGAATGGCAATAGATGTTGGCTCAGAGCCGGTCTTCCTCAGCAAAAAAGAGGAGGATTAGCATGGATGTTAGCTCAGGGCTGATCTTCCTCACCAAAAAAAAAAAAGAAAATAGTAATTAGAGTATTATGACTAATACAAGAATTCCAATGAGTAATAGAAATAGGAATTGCAATCTGGATCAAAAAAGGGAACCAATACCTGAAGAGGACCAACCAAACAAAGCAAGACTGGATGTAGAATCGCTTAAGGCATTCACCTATTTTTTTCTTCATGTGCTTTAGCAGAGATGACCCATTGGAAGATTCATCAGGTATAAAAAACACAGCATTCAGTTTGAATGATTGTACATGTACCACCTTGGGATGCAGTTGAAATGTCTAAGGCCATTTTATTTTGAAGGACAGCCTTTCTCATTGAAGACATTTTAGTATTTAATAAGTCTGTTCCTGCTTGACTATTGTTAATGGCTTATTGAGTAAATTTAGTCAGAGCTTCCATATGTGATATGACATCTTTTAGCCCCAAGGAAGGAACAAATATAGCCGCTAGATGGCCATGCCAGTGGAACACAGAACGAGCCCATCTGGCCTTAAAGAGAGGAACATTGGCAACAGATGTTAGCTCAGGGTGAATCCTTGCCTGCATCAAAGGGAAGCTGAGGGTGCAGTGTTTTAGCCATCTGGGCAGAGGCTATGCCAGAG